GGGAAATTGAGCAACTGCTCAATCGATTGGGAGTTTCGCCTCGGTTCCCAGGCATGTCTCCTTCAAGTGGTTTTTTTATGGCTGTGTGCGGTTTCTGATTCACGTTTTGCTAATTTCTCCGCATTCATTTTCTTGTCTCGTTGTTTTGCCATTTTCTACGGTATCGGGTCCCCACACGCCCCTCTTTGGTTTCAATCAATTAGATTGAAAGTGAAAACCTGAAAGTGTGAGTGAAAATGATTTGCAATCAAACCTCTTTGATTAGAGCATTCATTTTGATTAGGTCTAATGAGGCGGGTGTCTGTCGATATCTGTAATTGCCCAGTCTGTTTATGCAACTCCCATCCTAAGTGTGGGACTTCCCCCCATTCCTCCACCAGCCAGTTTGCCCATTCGCCTTTTGGGGCACCCGCACAGTAGGAAAATTTATTTCAAATTTGGTTCTGCCCCAAAATAATTATCAAAATAATCAGCAGACCACAAAATTAATTTGGGCTTCTGTTTCTGTTTCTCAGATGTGCACCACATGAGTCGAAATGATGGGGGTTCCCCTTCCTTGAAATGCGGTTTCACTTTTTTTAATAAACGCACACCAAATTACATAATTTTAATTATCATTTTGAATGAATAAACTGAATTATTATTATTTAGTATTAACTTGACAATAAATATTAATTCCTCTAACTGAGATGCATACATTAATCTAAATGTATGTATTAGGGCGGATATCGTATGTGCGGATATCGTGTATGCAATCTTTGGACATTAATAATCAATATTGCTCAGGAAACATTCTTTGTAAAATCACAATTTACAAAAAATGTTGTAGATTTTTTTTTGTCAATGAAATTTAAAAAAATCATGTTTGAACCTCCACATGATCACCTCTACGAACTTAAATTTTTTCAATAATAACAAACACTACCAAACCCGAATACCATTATTTTTGATTCAGTTTTATTTTGTGATTCTTTTGCCCTCGGTTTTAGCCAAGAAGCACTTGTTTTGATTAACCCTGTTATGGAAGCCCAAATAATTATAAATTAATGTGTAACTAGCTGCTGCTCATCCCAATACTTCCCCCTTCATTTTCCATTGTTTTTTCCATTCCTGCTTCTCTTAATATAATTATGTGATGTTTTTATTTCTTATATTTGTGCCGCTTTTGATGTTGTGCTCGGCACATATATGGGTGCAAAAACACTTCTGTATGTTTATGTAAAATATTCGGAAAGCAAAAAAATATTGCCCAAGAACTATGGTAAAAGATTCAAACAGAGGGCTTTTAAATTAAGAGACTCGTTTTGTGTAGTAACGGTCGGGCGGACGACTATATTCACGCGTTTAGAAATGACGAATATATATATATCTTATAAAATCAGAAATGTCACCTTTACTGCGTTGCAAACTTTAAACTACAAGGATATTCAAATAAGAATTTCATCAAAGCCTTCCTTCCACAGTAAATTATAAAGATGATAAATATATAAAGACTTTACCCGCTCGAAAAAGAAATGTGCTCTCTAAAAATTAAAATAGATTGAAATACATTAAATATATTAAAAAACTCAAAAATGTTCAGTTTATAAGTTTTTTAAGTAAGTCAGTAAGAATTTTTTGTATTGTGGTCTTCAACAAACTGCTTTCGCATGATTCTTAAATTCTGAAATCTTAATTTATTTAAGTTGTTTGCTTCATTTGACAACGATATTTTTGTTTTAGGAAAAAACTTTTCTTTATAAAATAATAAACAACATGTATAACAAGTATAGTGTCTAACTTCATTGTCTTTATTTACCAGACCATTCAAAATATATAACATTTTAATTCGATAATACGTGTGCTTTTTTAAAACGAAGATTAAATGGACACTACTAATTAACCTTTACGATACGCGCTTTGTATTTTTGAAATGATAAACTGCAAAAATTTAAATAGGTGTGATTTTCACATTATTACCTCATTACGGGGTGCTTTTGATTGACCAAATTTAAAAAAAAAAATTTATTTTTTATTGAATTCAAAAATCAACTATAATTATAGATATGAATATTGACTACTATATGCATACTATTAGCATATTTTAAACTATCATAAAATTATAGTTGGTTCAACTATTTCTTGTCTTTAATCGGAATTTTTATATTCGGAAAACAAGGGTATAACAATACCCTTGCAGAGGGTATTAGGGTTTTAAAATTTTTGTCAAAAGTTTGCAACGCAGTGAAGGGCACATTTCTCTTGATCAGCATCACCAGTCAAGTTGGTTTAGACATGTCCGACTATCCGTTCGTTTGTCCATCCGTCTGTCCGTTTATACGCAATGTTTTTTCTCCCATAGGAACGAGCTATAGTATTTTTTCTCAATTTCAGAAGTATCACATCATATGTTAAAGCTTCTTTGATTCGTAACGTAGTATAGTGTACTCCTTCAAGATATTGTCGTTGCTAAATATTTCAGAATTACGGTTTTACTTTTACAAAAATCGGACCACTAGCTATATGATAAACTGAAATAGAAACGATCAAAATTTTATCGGAAAATCGACCTAGCTTTATTGTTTTTAAATATAGAATATTTATTATTTGTAACAGTTGCTAAATGTAAACCTTAAAGAATAACGAATCAGTGAGTCTAATTTGCTAAATCCAATTGTTTCCATATTTTTCCAATAACGCAACCTATAATAAATTTTACTGTTACTGATGTTTCTGGTGGGCGGAGATGAAGGTCTTAAAGCTCATAAGTACTTGCATATATTACGATGTATATATTTCTCTTTTATAATAACTCTTTTACTTTTTTGGTACCATTTACAAGTTGCTATTGGGGTTTCTTTATTATTTGTTGCTAAACGAAAGCAAAAATGGTACGATTTACATAAAGGCATTCCTTATCCCATACTAGGACCGACCATTTAAAGTTAAGCCTGTCAATAAAGTGTCTTAGTTATGTGTACTTCGTTTAGAATCTTTAAAAGGCGGCATAAGGTAGGTTGAGTTATTACTGCATGGACAGCGTTAACCGTATTGAATTTGCATAACAATGAAAAAAGGCAATGTGCTTAAAATCTGGTGAAGACAACTTTACTTGATCACTAATATATAAGTAAAGCAAACTTTAAACCGAATTTTACTGAGTCTTGGCAACAAAGTTTCTTTTATGTTCCTTTTGAACCATCATAAAAGATTTCAATGACTTCTGAGAGCGTGGAAGTTCATTAATAGCCAGCATTGCCAATCTATCAGTTATCCACTCTTTCAAAAACTCGAGATGAGTTAGCATGTAAACTGATATCTTAATATTGATCATTGCCCCAACGACTGAGAACGAACGCGATCAGAGGTAAATCTTACGATCGGCGGAAGAGGCGAAGGAAAAATGTAAATAAACCTATTTACATATATTCGATGAATGAACTCGGTAACGATGCCCTACAAATGGATTAACCGGCGATGGCCCGATCAATGGAGCTCTCGTGTGGTTTCAAGCTGTCCAATGCCGGTTCGCACCCAAGCCATTGTCTTTGTGGTTGTCGGCGTTCGTTTTGTCGTCAACCTTACTCGGATTCATTGATAAAACTAGTTAGAGTCGTCGCTTCCTCTTTGTAAGTGATTTTTTCTCTCCCAGTCTCGGTGGCACTTTCGTGGCATTTTTTTACGCAAATCTGGTCGGCCGGATCTGGTCGGTTGGTCTTTTGCCCAGTTGGTCCCTCACCAGGTGTCGAGTTCGTGTGACCACAGTAGCCCAGTACACTCTTTGGCGGAAGTTGATATGGGAAATGGATTGAGTGGCAAATACTTCGAAGACAAGTTGCACAGTTTGTTGAATTCAGCTGAAGATGAGGCTCTCCTTGCGGTCAATTTGATAATTGTTTCATAAACCTCGCAGTTGAATATGGTGTTTCCATCATATTAAGACGTGTTTTTTTTTTTTAATTTTTCAAAAACCTATACATAAGGTATTAGGCTCCATACCTGGTACACTGTACTATACTCTTAACGCTTAGCTCAATGTTTCAATAAATCAAAAGATATAAATTTACATTTACATTGAGCTACATTTGTCCATTTCCGTTAGCTATTTAAATTCCCTTTGTAGACGGAAGGTAAAATTAATTTTAGAAACAGGTATTCAGATAACTATGTATTTCTCAATTTAAAACAACATAATTAAACAAGAAAGGAAAGCTAACTTCGGGCGGAGCCGAAGTTGATATACCCTTGCAGAATACTCTGTAAATTATATTCTCCAAAATTATTCATATGATGCATTCTTAATACTCATAAAAAATCCCAACTTCCTAACTTTAAAAACATCAAAGTTATGGCATTTCCAATCGTTCAGTTATATGGCAGCTATAGGATATAGTCGGCCGATCCTTATGAAATTTGGTAGGTAGGATTGATTGGCCAATTATAAAACCCATAGAAAATCCCAACTTCCTAACTTTACAAACACCAAAGTTATGGCATTTCCGATCAATCAGTTATATGGCAGCTATAGGATATAGTCGGCCGATCCCTTTGAAATTTGGTAGGTCGGATTGGTTGGCCAAATATAAAACCCATAGAAAATTTCAACTTCCTAACTTTACAAACACCAAAGTTATGGCATTTCCGATCAATCAGTTATATGGCAGCTATAGGATATAGTCGGCCGATCTCGGCCGTTCCGACTTATATACTGCGTGCAAAGGAAAGAAGGGTGTGTGCAAAGTTTCAATTCGATAGCTTTAAAACTGAGAGACTAGTTTGCGTAGAAACAGACAGACGGACAGACAGACGGACAGACGGACAGACGGACAGACGGACATGGCTATATCAACTCAGGAGGTGATCCTGATCAAGAATATATATACTTTATAGGGTCGGAGATGTCTCCTTCACTGCGTTGCACACTTTTGACCAAAATTATAATACCCTCTGCAAGGGTATAAAATGATAACCAATTTCCATTCGATTACACCAAGTGCATTTCCTACCTGTTAAATATTAAATAAATTTTAATTTGCAATTTTATTAATGCCCATGCTTGAGGTTGGAAAACATAAATGCATACATACATTAAATACCAGAGATTAATATATATGTGTGTGTGTGTCTTCCTTGTGTGTGGGTGCGCAGGCTCTAGTTAGATTAAGCTGCTGCTGCTCCTCCTTAGTTATGGGTCATCCCCATCCTTTGCCTAAACTGCTGGGGTTTCGGGCTGCAGATCGTCCATTTTTAGGGATGGAGCACCTGGGGCCGGAACCATTGGCTCCGCGTTGGCGGAGAGGGCTACGAAGTTGGCATCACCTCCGGCAGCCTGAGGTCCCTGCGATCCCAATGGAGATGCTGCCGGCAAGGGATTGGGATTGGCTGCTGGTCCCGGGTTGGGACTCGGACCTGGGTCGGCTGCCGGACTGGCTACGGGCTCCGGATCGGCCGAGGGCTCCGCCTTCGGGCTGGGATTGGCAGCAGGACTGGGATCAGGACTGGGATCAGGAACCGGCTCCGGCAGTGGAGAGCCGTAGGCGCTGTGGAGCACCACAAACGTAGCCACTGACAAAATTACGGCAGCTATTTTTAGTTTATCTCACGTTGGCAGTATCAAGAGGACTACTTACCACAGGCGAATGCGAATACCGTCAGGAATTTCATGGTCCTCGGACTGAACTGAAGGCTACTGGAGTCGGGCCAGCTTTTATATGTCGTCGGCCACTTGGGCCAAGTGCAGCAATCAAACAGCGGCGAGAATCAATTAGAATCAGTGATAGCCAGGTTCACTGATATGGTTTGTTTTGCACTGCTCCGATTGGCATTAATCATAACTTCATGGCTAGAAAGACTCGGCCTTTGACTCTCATCATGAACTTATACAGGGTTATGGGGGAAGTCAAGATGGTTGGTTTGAATCCTAGAATGATCGTGAAAAGAGTTTACTTCCTATTGCAAATATTGAACGTGTCATTCTTTTCGTCTTCTAACACAGCCGGACAAAATTTAATTTTTTTTCTGAAGTCCTAAACACGCTTGACTTTAGAAGATATCGCTCTATTTGCCTTCATCAGCTCTCGTATTTGCATTGTGTAATGATTGGTTAAATACATTCTAAGGGCAAAGGAAAACATTTTTAAAAGTTTAAATTCTTGGTCGGTTGTTGCCTATTTCTTTTTCGTCACATAAAAATGATTTAACTTTTTTGATATTAACAGACTTGGACACACTTCATAAATAGTGACTGGAAACATACGAAAACCAATTTCAAAATATCAAACAAGTTTGAGAAACATGATCAATATGCCAAATGAATGATAAAAATAAATCATATTTTCTTCTATTAGACAAGTGACTTTGTAATTAACGAAAGTATATTAAAATTATGGTTACCATTCTTATTGATATAACTAAACTTTCTAAATAAAAAAATTAGCTTCTAAAATTGAAAAAGTCGCAAATACAAAAATGTGTTAAGCAAAAGTATTGTTGTAAAATGATTTATCATAACAAATACCGATTGCTCCTATGTTGCACTATCTAATAATTCAACAATAAATAATAATTCCGGTTTTACTTGTTATTGCAATAAAGAAAAGAGAACAACTTAAATATTTTGATTGTACTGGGCAGTGGTTACAAAAGTTTACAAATTTTGACTTTATATAGATTTAAGATAGCTTATTACAATCAAAAAATGTCCAAGAGCCTATGTAAAGTCAATTTTTATTTCTTAATACCTTTCTAAATAATTTTTTAATTTTAATAATTGTTTAATTTTTGTGGTGTGTCATTAGATATTTACCACATAATTATATACTGATCAAAAATTTCTTATACCTTGTCTCTACAGAATTGTTCGATTTGTGGGCGTTAGGGTCAGTTTGGCTAATACAAAATAAGTTTGCTCTCAAGTCATCAAAAAAATCTACCTATTGCATACTTTTCAACAATACTCCACGAGTAAAAGGTATAATAAATTAGATTATTTTATTATTTTCAGGTATGCATGTAACTTTATTTATTTCTTGAAAGGACGTTTTAATTTTATGACATATTTTATATGTCACCAGATATTTTGTATGGTGTTTTGTGCGTTGAAGTCTTCTTCATCCATGGATATTCGTTGTTATTTCTATCAGCTGCGCCATATATACTATGTCTATCAAGGGTCAAAATGGCTAAAAGAAACACTGCAAGGTTACACAAAAATTATTTTAAAGCTACTTATAATTTTTAATTTCTTCTGCACTTACCCATGGCGACAAGAATTTGCGTGAAGTGCATTGTGACTGAACAGTTGCCTATCAATAATATTGTTGACTTGTATTGTTTGTAGTTTATAACACATTTTAAAATCGTCAGTATGGGTAATTGGGCATAAAATCAATTAACAACACATCATACTTCGAAGATGGTAAACAAAATTTTATTGCTTTGATTTTGCAAGTGCTTTTTTATAAAAACCATTATTTCTCTTGAACAAGTTGAGCTTACACACGCTTGGTATTTTGAAGCCATTCTGAATTGCCCCCTAAAAGTTATAGGGCACCCATATGAATGAATTGTTAAATTCTGCCCAAACTCATAAAAAGTAACTGATATTATTAAAAAAAAAAATAACAACAATCGACTTCTTTTAAAAATTCGTTAGCCTGTTTTTTTATGATTGATGGTAATAAATTAAATCAATTAAATATATTTTTAAATTGTCATCGAAATATGTAAAAATGTTATTTCATCTTAGTACTCAGAAAAAATACGTAAAATTGGTTTCATAAATAAATTTAAAACCTCTCCAAACGCTTTTGAGATATTTTTTGGCATTTAAGGATAAGTGAAACAGTGACAGATTTATCATGAAACATAAAGGAAAGTGAACTTTGGCGAGTTTATATATAACAAACATGATATTCGGGAGTAAGGAGCATAAGTATCCTTCCAAGGACTGAGCCCGGGATTTCGTAAGCTATTTAAGGTTTGATAGTGCTTTTCTTTTTTTTTTTGAAGTGTTTTTTCTATTTAAGATTTCTTGTCTTATTTTCGTTAATTTCTTTAAGTTTAGTTTCACCATTAAATGCGAATATATGTTGTTTTTGCCATCGAAAATTATGTATGTTATTATGAGCTTTCTACTTGGCAGAGATTAGCCAACTCAACCGATTCACGTCCTTTTGTTTAGAACCACCAGGAGGGTCGAGTTTATTTAAAACATATACAAATATAACATCTATATATATAGATAGTCGTAAAATAGAATAAAACATATTTTGAACTTACAAAATTTGTTTAATACTTAGAAGTAAATGCTTCACCTTAAAATTCTTAATCTTTTTAAACTGTTACAAATGTAAAATGTTTCAGCAATAAATTTCTTAATCACATTATAAATTTCTTTACCCTTTTAAGATATTTCAGTTGTTTGAAAGTAGCTAGGCAACTGCAATCGTTATGAAAATCCATCTGATAATTGGTATGTCCTTAGCCATCTTAGATTGATTTATTAAGTTAACTAATTTTCGTTTTTAAAGTCTCAATTTTATTTGCAATTAGCGCTGCAGAAGATGAATGCAGAGCCTGTGATTGGAAAAGTGATATTCATTGCGGAAAGGTTGCTGATGGCACTTGTGTCTTTTCTGCCCTAAATCGATGCCAAGTTGAACGTGTTTCTTGCCTTCGGGACCAAAAAGGATTGCCACGTAAGGGGAAAACTAAGTGGTTTGAAATATTTGTTTCTATACTAATTTAGATTTATTTACCTTCACAGCATTTACCGAAATTAGTAAAGGAAAATGTTCAAAAAGCACACCAAAGTGCACCAAGCCTTGAAATAAATTTAAATATTTCATAACAACTACGTCAGCCTATCGATAATTTATTTATCTTTAAAATAGCTAATTGATACAAATTGGATTCCCTAGTGTGTCGATAATTTTCGTTATTTTTTAACTTCATAATTCATAAAATAAAATTGTTTACAAAAAAAGTAGGTATGTCATTGATTCCCATAGAATTAATTGAAAACTTATTTTGGTGGGGAGTGTTTTGCTTTCAAAAAGTCTTTTCGAGGAAATGATTTACTGAATTGGCAATAATAGACGGCGACCCCTTCTATGGACCATCATTTAAAAAATCATATAAATCTTGTTAATTGCAATTTGGTGTCTTAGGGGAATCTAAAGCAAAAAATAAGATTATTTGAGATTGCCCAACGAGCAGCCTGACACCCTGAGATCTTTGAGTTCTGACTTTAATTTTTTGTACTTTGCAATCAGCCTGCGAACTCTTTGCCTGAAGTTGCTGCAATCTTGAATTTGTTTTAAAAGTTGCAATTGCAACTTTAGCCTAACCTGATTCTGCAAAAATATAATATTTTTGTAGCGGTTTGCCTTCTTGAAACTGTTCATGCAAAATCCTTTTGAAGTGATGTTGATGTTTTTTTCGCCGACCTGCAAGGAATGGTCTGAAAATACAGTTTCAACAGGTAAAATGATTGTGGTTTCAAGCACTTTAAATAAAATATTAATAGGGGATAGTCACCGGAGATATTTTTAAAGTCCCTTAGAATGTTTAGGAAATCGGATTTTGATTGCATTTTCTCACTGGAGATCAACTGGACCCAAATCGTCACTGAAAATATCGACAAATAAGTTATTTAAATACAATCGCAGAACGCCGAAAACCCATAATGACCTAAAAACAGTCGAAACTGGCCTTCAATATGGAATAAAGTTAAGGATTTTTTGTTTCTTTCTTTCCTAATGTTAGCTTACCCGAAAGGCATATAAGAATGCATTTAATAAATACATTCATCTCTGCGGTAAGTAATCTAATAAAAATGTAAGTCGTTCCGGTTTATTTTCTCTTACCATTCAATCTTTGCCTATTAATCTGTTTCTTTTCGGTAACTAATAAGTATATTCTTCTTTCTTTTATACCCTTGCAGAGGGTATTATAATTTTGGTCAGAAGTTTGTAACGCAAAAAAGGAGACGTTTCCGACCCTATAAAGTATATATATTCTCGATCAGGATCAATAGGGGAGTCGATATAGCCATGTCCGTCTGTCCGTCTGTTTCAATACCGTTTGCGAGCTCAGTTTAAAAGCTAGCGATCTGAAACTTTCACAGTCGTCCTAAAACAAGTGTACGCAGATCAAGTTTGAAAACCGTCCCGATCGGATGTCTATATCCTATAGCTCCCATAGGAACAATCGGATATAACGCAGTGTAAAAGCTATTGACATAAATCTTTCCAAATCTTATTTTTTTATGCGTACCTTGATCAGAGTAAAAGCGCGTGACGATCCGACGTCTATATCCTATAGCTCCCATAGGAACAAAAGGGGTAAAATCGGTTAAAATTTAATGATTTTAAGGATATTTCACGCAGTATATAAGCTATTGACATGAATCTTTCCAAATCCTATTTTTTTATGCATACATGGATCAAGGTGAAAGCGCGTGCCGATCGGACGTCTATATCCTATAGCTCCCATAGGAACAATAGGGTGAAATCGGTCCAAATTTGATGATTATCAGAATATTTCACGCAGTGTGTAAGCTACTAACATACAATTTTCCAATTCTTATTTATTTACGCATATCTTGATTAGGGTAAAAGTGCTTGCCGCTCGGAAGTCTACATCTTAAAGGAGATAGGAAAAATTGTTAAAGGCTGCGAAAGTATCCCTTTTTTTCTATTTGTATATGACATTTTTGCAGTATAAAAGCAATTGACTTGAAACGATGCAAATCTAGTTTACTTATGTATACCTTATTCCTTTCGCTACTTTTTCACTTTTAGCAATTTCGTCAAAGTCTGCAAGGGTATTAAAACTTCGGCTTGCCGAAGTTAGCTTCCGTTCTCGTTTTTGTATAACCTTTTAAGGGAGTATTTTAATTTTAATTATATATATATTTAAAGCACTCATTAGAGAACAAATCAAAACGCTACCAATTGACTTGTAAGGCTATCGTCACGCTAATTTTGATAAAAACAAATAAACAAAACTAAATAAAACTATATTTTTAATATTTGAATAAAGTTATTTGTGTTGTTCTCAAGCAACAAATAAATAATATTATTTTACCCAATTATGCTTAGAGCAAAAAATACATCTTCTCGTGGGATTATGAAATTTTACTAAGCAATATATTCTTTTTAAGTCATTATTAGGGATGAGTCAGGCAAGGATGGTTAGAAAAAATATATTTTTTTTGTACACAAAAACTTTATCATTAAAAGAACATCTCTATCAGGGTTTTCTTTAATAAAAACAAAATTTAAAAATAATTGTCAGAATATAAAAATGAGTAAGTTTTTTCAAAGCGTCAGGTATTGAGTTCTTGAGAATAACAAAAAATGTTTTTAAAAATTTCACGAACAAATACAAGAACAATGTTGTAATATATGCGTTGGACCAAAAATTAAACTCCAGAAAATACATTTGTTGATATAAAAAGCAGACGTGCAATATTTAATTAAAGGAGTTAAACAGAGTGACATTTTTATAAACATCGTTCGAAATTTAAATGCGATTTTACTCGTTTTGAATTTGTTATTCAAGTACTATTAACATTAATATCTGAAATACTTAAAATATATTTAAGAAATAAAATAGAATGATTTTAAAACAAATAGTACCCAATTCTAATATGCAAATGAGAGAACAATGGACACGTTATAGAAAAAAAAATGAACTTAAATTAAAATAACAATGTAGTTAAAAACAAAGTCCCCGAAAACTTCCCCTAATTTACTAAATAATTGGATATTGAAGGATATCCAAAGTTACTCCTAAGAAAATACTTTTTTTATTCTTTTTACTTTTATTTCCTTAAAAATGTAGCTTTAAAAAATTATTTCTCGTTACATTTGCCAGATTTACCATTAACTTAAAAAAAATCTTGCCCTGACGTTACTTTTTTGTATAAATCTTAATTGTGGCTTAATTTATTTAAAACGGCTCAAATTAAAACAGGCAACGCTAAATTGTGGCGTCCATGGCAAAAGAAGCCTTCGCACACCCATTGCCAATGGAACATCGTTTTATGAGCAATAATATGATTTAAAAGGTTATTGTTTTTCATTCGGTCTTCAGTTTTTACCTTATAAAAAATTCATGAAATTCGTTTGGAAGCAAACGTATAACGGCCATCATGTCCCACGCTGCTCTGCTCCGTCAAAACAAATAACTTTTCGAATATTTGTAAAGCTTTTACTGCTTTTCATGAGTTGTGTGGAGTTGCAGCGTTGTTGGAGAACTGCGCATTATATTTCAGAATTTATTTCCATTGTTTTCTCTACCGTCTCCACATTTTCTTTATATAATTCTTGGCCACAGTGCTTCTCAATTCGTCCAAAGCAATATAGATATTTGTATGTCATTAACATCCCGTTGAATTTATATGTATTATGTGTTTTGAATGGAAATGCTAGAGGAGTGTAAATAAATTGGTATTTGTAAATAAAACCACCAATGAACAGCGAGATCTCGAATGATTCAGTAACAGTAGAGTTCATTTGAATAACTTTCATTAAATTGCGATAGTACCTGGTTAAAAGTTGCTTATAATTTGTTCAATGTTAAACTTAAATAAAAACTTGGTGAGTTGGAAAACAAAGAAGCTTTTTTATTTTTAAGTCGAATGTAAATTGAAAAACATAGTCTCCATCTCCGATTCGAATGAAATTGAAATCCAATGTGTTAATGTGCCATGTTTAGCTGTGTTGAACCAAAATTAGTTAAAAACACAAAGATAAATATTTGATGGCTTCGCAAAGCTTAAAGTCCCACCGAATATCAGACTATAAGCAAAATAATTAATTGCCCAAAAATTAAAATGTTTCACATAATAAGCCAGGAAGCATTAATATATCATTTTAATTATGGAAGTTCAACAAAACAAAAGCAGAAATAAATCAGACCCAAAACGGAAACACGTTTATATATCGTTAAATATAGATCAAGAATTCTTTTAACTTTGTAGGTACGAATAATTTGTTTTATGAATTAAATAATTTTCTTTTCTACCAAGACTTAGGTTTCTAAAATATTTTCTACAAAATGTTGTACATCTTGAAATCGAAGATGTTAAGACGCGAGGTCAGCAAATTAGTTATGAAGGCTAAGCGATATACATCAAAGTATGAGATACTTTAACGCCTTTCCGCTTGACCTGGCGAAGCCGAGGCCACCTGGCTGCGATATGGCCAAAACGTCGACGGAAGTCCTCCCGTCCTTTCGTCCTTTCCTCCGTTCGTCCTTTCGTCCCTCGGCTCAAGCCCCTGTTCTTGCCTCTGACCCAACTGCTAATGCCACCTGTTTGGGGATCCAAGCTGTCGCCTTTCAGCTGCTGAAAGTTTCGTTTTTTTTTGGTTTGGTTTAATAAGATACTCTGTGTTGTTGCTGGCTTTAAAGCCGCTCGTGGCACTTGCCACTTGAGCAGACGCCGCAATCGGAAGTTCTTGTTTATGATATGGATACTGGTGCCATCGGACAGCCGATATCAGCTGCCATGCTGCTGGAGGTTGATTTATAGCCACCAATTGTCGTGATCTCGATAAAGGTAAGTGATGTTTAGGACGTAAATCGATTTAAGTCTGATTAGAAAAATGGAGCGATGGAATTAATTCGATATCCAATCGTCTTGGTATTTCTAAAGCGGCTTGCCACTTTGTGGCAACCCAGTTATACAAATCATTTGAGCTCAGAATTCTATCTCGGGGTGCCTGCAACTTGATGGATTGCATAAGATAGATTTAGCCTTACGCTTCTGCCCGTTTTTTTTCTGGCTCTCTTCGTTTTTATTTGTGATTTACTGCTACTTTTTATAGGAAAAGTGCCCGGCACGCAAAAAGTTGGTAAAGAAGGGGAAGTGGGAATCGCAGCCCACTTGACGTACTTCGCTGCCATCCGGAGCAGATGCAGATGTGGATACAGACTCAGCCGCTACCGTGACCAACACAAGTGCACCTCTAGGCGAGTGTGTTTGGTGCGATTCGAGCTGCAACATTTTTGTTTACAATTGGAGCACGTCTGTTTTGGCTGAGGCAGCTGCTGACCATTGGCCATTAACTTGCAGCCGGCCAAGCTGAGTCTGCAATTACAACTGAGTGCGGGTACAGGCTGGATTCCTTGGGCAAAACCCTAAAAGCTTCATGCTGAAAAAATATGTTTTGTTTTAAAATCAAAATTTTTATTTAGATTATTTATTTAGATTCTTTTGTTTTGCCATTCCGAACAAGTGGTTGAATTAGTAGTAGTAGTTTTGTAGGTTTCACTGTATTTAAGCTGGGCAAACACTCTGAGTGTTTACAGCGCACCGACTTCTGTAACTGGAGCATACCTTCGTAGCGTCTTCGTCTCCATCTCGAGACTCTATTCCCGGCTTTCTGGTACTGATCTGGAGGAGATCTCTCCCCCATCTGTGACGGTGTGTACTTTTCACACGGCTCTGTGAAAAGCGTGCTATGATAAAATGTTCCAGTCCATTCTGTTCTTTACAAGTATTTCAGCGTTGAGACGAGGAATGCATTTAACAACAAGTTGTAATTTTTGAGCCCTCTACTCGTAGAATGATTGGAAATATAATATTTGTTGAACCGTGTATATTCTTGATCAGGTTCACTAGCCTAGTCGATTTAGCCAAGTCCGTCTGTCCGGATGAGCATGTAAATCATGGAAACTATAAAACCCAGAGATTTGGTGTTCAGTATTCAGTAAGTCGATGACAAACATTGATTTCATTTAGGGTAATTACAACAGGGTTTGTGCAAAGATGATTGTTAAAACAAGATGAGGGGCTTACTAGTTTAATTTGATTGCCACGATATCACAGCTTCTAACAGATATATATATATATATCATTTCAGTGAGAATTAATTTGTTAAACGGCGACCTCCAATTAGCGTCTGATTCATGAATTCTTTTTTGCCGCCCCGGGTCAGTTGCATAAGTTTCCATGTTCAAACTAATTAAGTCACTCTGAAAAGGCAAACAAATAAAATTGGTTCCGCGTTTTTTACTCATATTTTTCACAACTCCGCAAATCCATCATCGACATCACTCATCATCTATCAAAATCTAATGAATTTAACTTTTCTCGTAAATTATCGAGCAAACAAAAATCATCTGTATAGCATTTATATCTATATATATATTACTGTTTTCAGTTCGTTGATGATAATTTCACTTTCATTAATAATTTGTTGACTTTTTTACTTTGTCATAATTAATTTTTCAACTTTTCCTTTTTTCGTTGTTTCTGTTACGTTTGAACAAAATAAATCATGGTAGAAAACCAAACCACACAATCCAAAACATTGTCGGAATTGAATATTTCGTTTGACGTTTGAACTTTCTTTTTATTCGTTTGGATTTGCAAGTGGATAAAGTTCAGGGCTTGTTAGATCTTAATTGTGTTTAAAGTTGTCAGTTCGGCGTTTGGCTTTTCTGGAGCTGGCAAGAACGTCTTAAATAGGTTGCTATAGAACAGGGAAAATCTGTATTCCAATATTGAGAACGAAAATTTAATTGGTATATACGTAAAAAATAATTATTAAGAAATATAGTTTGAATGAAAATGCCACAAAAACAGTATTCGTAAAAATCAACTCAAATAAAAAATATTTATTTTTTTAAATATTCATTATAAAATAGCTAAGCTGCTTATTGTTTTAAAAGTTATAAGTTATTGCTGCATAATTGAAAACATATCCAGATAGAATTTCAAGAAACGGTTTTAGATGCATTCAAAAAAATGTTTTATGGAAAGTTTTCCAAAATTAAAAAAATCTTTGAAGAGCATTTTTCTTCTTAAAGAATATATCAATCAAACTTATAAAGCAACACTTTTTTTATAACAAGGGAATAGCTTACTTATCGACAAGCCAATCTGTGTAAGTAATTATCGGAAGATAAGTAGGTGGGCTTCCCAAAAACAATAATAATTAGAGAAAAAACAAATGAATTATAAGACAAGAAAACTTCAGAAAAGCGAATTTAAACTCAATAAAACGTCTATGTATACATATATGGATTTCTATTCGTATATTTGTATTTAAAAACAATGATTTTCCAATACGCTCCAACAATAAAGCTATAATAATTTTATTATAGTACAACCCAAATATTGAAAATATTATAATATATTATTTTTAAAGGCTTGATGCATTAGAACATCTTGTTTTAATACATGCCTTAAAATACAAACATTTTTTGCCGCGCCTCGCCCTTCAACTTTGGTCATTTAGCTCTGCCCAAGCCCATCCGGCGTCGCTCGACCGCGACCCTTCTCCTCCCTTGCCACCCATCCCCAAAGCAGATTTCCACGAGGAAACCCACATGTCGGCGAAGTCTGATTGGAAACCAGTTTTCCTCTCTCAGAAGTGAGCGAACGGCGGACTGAACTAGTTCGCCCGCTCGCTCGCCCACGGACGGCACTTCGAGCACCAACCCACACTGGCTCACTTGGAAACCACTCACTTTTCCCAAACTCACAATGAACTTTTCTTAATTTACTTTATAGTTCTCTGAATATAATTGATTGGCCCATGACCTTTTCTTGGATACATGAAAATAACATTAAAAAAGTAAATAAATATGGAATGGTAGAAACTACTACTTCGCATACTGCAGCATTGATTTTATGTTTAAAATGCAATAGCTTTTCGCTCAGTGCAGAGAGAGCGAGAGCATACACACGCACATACACCTCCGCCTGGGTTCGATCCGCTCTCCCGCTCGCTAGCCATAGCCAGTGACTCTCTGCGCTCTCCCGCTCTGCTGAATAGCGCTCTCAGCGGACTAGACCTCGCAGACGCTAGCGGTGCGGCTTCATTGCGTCTGTAAACACTGGCGAGTGCGGTCTTCGTCGCTGCTTCGCTCCGGAATTCTCGATTCTTACTGAACTGGCTAACGGAAGCGAGCTTATCTTAACGAAAGTGAATGTGCGCCCGGGTCAAAAATAAAATTGGTCCGCTAGCCAAAAAAAAAGTGAAAAAATTCAGAAGGAAATCGACGGTGCATGGCTAAATAAAAATCACTGCACCTGCCTTCCGAGTGCACCTGTTTCCCCCAGTGCCGCCGCCCTCCGCAGGGAACACGTACGCACCTTTGGCAGTGGATACGCGTAAAAATGCACCGTGCATGCCAAGTACAGCGGAGTGCTTGATAACTTAGTGCCAGCCAAAGGGCCGTAAAAACAAACGAGGCAGAAACAGAAAGAGAAACAGTGCGACCTTGTCTTGTCTTCGCCGGACTTCTTTTTCCGCCATCCATCAAAGTCGGACTGAAAAGTCTTGGGATTACACATAAAACACATTTGGATACAAAATCTCATTCGCTTAGAGGTAAGACCCAGATCTCGGATCTCTATGGTCCATTGAGTGTAGCCCAGTTTTCGCTGCGGCCCAATAATCGACTTCCCGAGAAAGTTTGATTGGTAAACGTGATTTAGTCTGGTTTAAACGGTTTTCTTCTCGCTTTGGCGAAAGTCAAGAATTTTCTCAGCCGATTCTCCTATTACAAAATTATCAAATTGCGATAATATCTCGAGACATTTTCGCTGCGCAGAGTTGATTGAACCCCGCAACGGTAGTCAAGTTGTTGGCCACTCATTTCCTCCAACCAAGGGGTCATTTAGGCGATTATATTGCAAGTACGGGCTTTCTTAACATCATTGTCCGGTTCTTGACCTCAGACAACTGCACATCCGTAAATCTGCAACTCAACAATGCGCTCAGCATTTTTATGCAATATTTCAAATTTGAATTAAAGGCCACACAGACAAACGAACTTCCCAGCTATTGAAAAAGCAAAAAGGTTTTAAACAAATTCCTCGGTCGAGTGACTCCATTAATTAGTAAAAGTTAGTTTGTTAGTTGATTATAAATGACACAATGTTTGGGTTTTGATTTGATAAAAATATCGCATATTTCTGTGACAAAATTTTTTTTCTTTTGTTTCGAATACAGTTAAACAAATGCGTTCATTTGTGATTAGGAAATCGCAAATCAGATTTGTATCTTTTAATGTGGCCAATGTTGCTTGTGTTTCTAACTTCTTCAAAGCAGAGAGGCCAATCTTAATAGAAAATTACTGTTTAAAAAATTTTTTATTGCCGACCAAAAACCACGGTAACAAAGCTGTAGCAAAACCGCCTAGTACTCTGGCGGAAGTTCTCTAATGGCCATTTTTATGAGCGGGAAAATTCGCGATGAGCAACATCGTTTTGGCTTATAAAATATTCATCATCAAGTGGGTTTTAGCTTCGCTACTGATTTCATCGTAACCACAGAAAACTTTTGATTTTGCACTAATATTCCGCCTTTTAGGAGTATAAAAGCCTTATTGTAGAGCATAGTTTCCTTTATGACAATATAAGTAGAATATTAAAGATACCGAGCACGTATTCGCGCTACACTCTGCACAATTATTTGTCTTTGTTAGTTTCTATTCGGTTAATAAAAACGGAAATGTCCCGTAGCAGACTAAGGAATTAGCCTTACTTTGATCCCATCCTGAATTTTACGTGAGAGAGGGATTGATTTTTGGGCCTACCTGCTTGTGGGCTACTGTCAAGTGCGGTTCCCTCGGTGTAGCGCCTTGTTTTCGTTATTGGTAACAGGTAAACCCGTGCTTTACAGATATTAGGTCTATTGAGTAGGAGATACGTGAGCCTTGAGAGGATACTCGCCTCATTTAGTCTTCATATTGCATGCACGTACTTACAAGGAAGCAGCTCTCTGAGGTCCATTGATCAATGGAGGGAGGAGATTTGGGGAGGAAGTTGAGTGTGGTCTGGCAAAAGGGTCATATATCTTTCGCTGGAGATCTTGGCATTCGGAGTTGACGGACATACATATTAATTCGTACTAAACATTTGATGTTAGAAAGAACATTTTTTTAGAGGTCTTCTGAAAACTTGAGTGGTCAGTAAATTTATCAAGCTTTTATTTCTCTTATTTTTTTATTCCAATGCTTCGTCGCAACGAACGCCAACAAACTTTTTGAATAATTCCTTCAGTATTTTATTAATGGTTTTATGGCTTGGGGAAGTGACTTGTTTTCCCATACACAGTTATGAACACTAAAGGCTATTGTTTCTCCATCTTATTAAAAATACACCCGCGCCCTCAGTGAAAAGACAAAAGTATTTGTCAATTGAGAAATCGACACAAAATCGTGCACGCGGACTTTGGCTTACTGTATCTGAGCGGTACTCTAAGCTACGTCAATATGAATGAATCACTTAAATTATATCGTTTATATTACGTTTTATTGTTTTTTGACAAATTAAATTAATATGTTATTGTATAATAAACCAATACAAGGCCTTGATTTCTCGTATGGGAATATATTAACAGAATTTGAAATTTCTTAAGTCGTTTGCAACACATTATTGTATAGCTAATACTCAGAAATATTCGAATTGGGGTTTTTCAGCCTTTTCCATTATGCATTGCAAGATCGTTTAACGTTTCGTGCTAACTTTACTAAATTACAGCGAAAACCATACTGAGTCAGCGAATTTAAAATTCAATAAACAAGTTCAACAGCGAAATGAAAAAATAATATTATTAATTATAAATTTTGCTACAATGTCAGCAACAAAATTGGAGTTGGCGCTGTTACTTATGGTTTTTCTCTCTGCTGCTCTCCGTTGAAACTTTTTGTTGACATTTTGTTTTGTTAACAATTAATTAACAACAACCAAAGTACACAAAGGCTGTTAACTAACTGTTTGTTTGCGCTCGGCAACCTGTTAAATGAAGAGCCGTAAAACAATTTGGGATCTGGGTTTCTCTGAAACTACAGTGTATGATTCGAAAAGATTAAGCATTGGTGAATTGGTGTTAAGTGATTCGCCATTGATTTGTCTTTCAGCAGAACGAGCATTAGTCATTTGTAGCAGATTTGAATTTCAGATGAATTACTCCGAAAGCAGCGTAAAAACTCGGTCGTGTTAATGGAATTCAGTGTTTAAGAAGAAAACTTATGTTATTCTTCTTGTGATACAAGTTTTTCTCTATTAAGTTATCTTCGCAGATCCCCATACCTTGTTTAACGACCAAAAATGTTTATCTCGAACTTTCTGCTGTCAAAGTGTGGTTTCTGCCCTTCGCTTTTCTCACTTTTTCCAGCAGATCGGATCATCCATTAGGGTCAGTTGGAAGTAGCTTCTGGTAACCTTTCATTTTGGGCTTAGGCCTCGTAAAACTTTCATTCGACCGTGATCTGTCAGCGAATGTATCTCACAGTGGCCATCCTATCGGGTGGGAAATCATTCTCGAGACTCACTTTCCCCCGTTGGCTTGAAACACGTGCCTCCAGTCGCCCACCTGAGGAAGCGACAAATTCTCACGCCAAAAAGAAGTTGCTGCTTTAGTTCGCATTTGTTGATGTACAAGCTAAGGCAAACCGCAAAATGCAACCGCAAGTTATTTTGTTGCTGTTGATTTTGCAGTTGCTGGCTGCTTCCCAGGTCCTATCCTGGGACAGGAATTTGCTGCCTTGCTGCCTTGGTCTCTGTCTTAATGCACTGTGGGAACGCGGAATGTTGGGACTGCAACTTGATTGACTCACTCCCCCTGCCCCTCTGCCCCTTTGACCACGGCAAGTGGACAAGTGGGGATTCATTAACTGCCCCTGCAAATGCAACATTTACTCGCCTTTAAATCGCTCGCAACCCCTTGATTCCCAGCTGGTTTCGACTACCTGGTAATCAATATGCGTGTAGCGCCCAGTGGTCGGGGGCAAAAAGAGCTAAAGGCCGGAAACTCACCAGCTTAATGCAGAGAAAGGATTAAAAAACTCTGTGTGAAAGAAAAAAGTCGAATCGCTTCCCCACTTTGGAGCTCTATTTGAGCGTTATTAATTTCAGTACATCAGTCAGGGCCATGGCGGCCAAATAAAAAACACTTGGCACAAAACTGCCGGCCCGAAAACCAGAGCTGGAAAAAACTACACTCTTGGTCACAATTGCATTTTTTGTCCGCTCCCTTCTCCCGCCACTAGTCATGATAAATTAACCAACTTAAAGGCTGTTACTGTCGCTCCAGCTGGATACTTGGCTACTGCTGCCGAATGACAAGTTGACGTCTTCGTTGGCACTTCATACGTTTCAAGGGGGAGGGGGATGGTGGGGGTGAGGAGCTGCAGGAAGCTCCAATGGCCCCCCTCCCAGGCGACTTAATTGTGCGTTTGCAAATTTGTGTGAGAATCGGTTTGGGTAACGTTGCTGACCCTTTGTTTTTTCCTGTTCCTCTTTCGACCGACGTTTTGGCCCTGCTGGACATTGGCAGTGTACTGTTTTCTGTGATTGCGACCAGGCCGTTTGATTTGTGCTCTCTGGGAGGACTTTGGGTAGGCGAATTGCAAACGATATCAACTTCTCGTCAGCCACTGGCACTTTAGCGATATCAGCTCCCGGATGAAACCGAAACATTGAATTCTTTAAAGAGTGCCTTGAACCTCACCGAGTTGATGTTCAGCTGCTGCTCCATTAATGGAAGTCAATCACCCACATAAACATAAGTGCATATATACACATTGCGCTTATCATGTATCGGCCGCCTTCTTAAATGGGAACAAGGCCCTCTACAGATCCATCTCGCAGTCGCTTTCCCCGTAAGATAAAGCATATATCACAGAGTACTCTTAATATAGAGGGGCTGCTTTATATTAAAACAACTTAATCGACACTCCAGTAAACAAACCATAGGGAGAATGCAGCCCAGAGAAGAACAGAAGAAATATGGAAAATATTAATTGTCGGCGCTTAAGTGGAAGCCCTTTCCAGCTTTCAGCATATTTATGGAATACGCACGAAAGAGTGGCATCAAAAATAAATATTCCAGTCCCCTTCGATTCCCGCAGCTCATAACTTCATTAGGGCAAGGCATAGTTCTTCGTGGAGTTTCGTTTTCGTTCTCTTAAAGTGGACACGTTGCAGTTGCATTAGGGGGCTTCAGCATGCTGATTTTTTAAGGCCAAGCGCTTTTAATTATTAGTTTAAGGCTGTTGTGAGTGGGAAGGCTTTGGTGGGAAAACATTCAAGTGTGGGACAATAAATTCTGTTGTATTTTTAGTTTATTTATCAGAAACAAATGAGCAAGTTGAATGGGGATAATTCGTTTTGTGCGGGTCTCATCAAATACAATAAGCGACCTTGCCTTTTGTACTGGCAAAATAGTCTTTGTATAAAATTGGTTTGCAATTTTAAATAGTTAGTTTAACTGAATTCCCAAATAAGGGGAATCAGTACTAACACCAGTCTGAAAGTTATCTAAAATAAATGGCACAAAAACCTTTTGTCGTTAACCCCATGTTTGAATAATTTATTGACAAC